AAAAAATTATTTGGTAATTTCTTTTAGAACGTAAGTTATAAGTGATTTATTTAATTTATTATTATATATTTAGGACATTACAACTTATTTGTTAGTTTAATGTACTGATTCTTCTCTATTTTTTAAAAATCTAAAATATAATGAACATATAATAACATTTGTTTAAATACTTTCTTTAAATTATGATTATTTGAAATTTTCTGAAATTTTCTATATTCTCAAAATTTCTTAGATTTATTTAATCTATTTAATGAAAATTCCTTCTCCCACTTTATAGAAAATTCTGATGTTAAACAAACAATTAAATTGAAATGAACTTATATAATGTTTAAATGTAATTTAAATTAACTAAACTTTATTTAAATAATTTCATTTAGATCGTAAGTTATAAGTTATTATTCAATTGTATTATTACACATTTGCAGTACATTATATTTACATATAATTCAAACAAACTAAATTCCTTATTAAAAAAAATTATTTAATAATATAGGAAGTAAGTTATTCATTTAATTCTACTATTATTATATACTTATGTAATATATTTATATATGTAATTTAAATTAACTAAATTCTTTATTTAAAAAAATTATTTAATATTATACTAGGGAGTAAGTTATTTATTTAATTTTATAATATTTACATATAATTTAAACTAACTAAATTCTTTATTTAAAAATTATTTTGTAATATCTTTTAGTTGGTAAGTTATAAGTTTTTTGTTTAATTTTTTTTATTGTATTTGTATATAATGCTTATGTATAATTTAATTCTTTATTCACAAATTATTTAATAATATAGCTCGTAAGTTATTTATTTAATTCTATGATTTATTATATTTTTATAATTTTTATATAATATTTGCATATAATTTAAATTAATTAAGTTCTTTATTTAAAAATTATTTGGTAATTTTTTTTAGAACGTAAGTTATAACTTATTTATTAATTCTATTATTATAAATTTGTATAATGTAATCTAAATTAACTATTTAAAAATTATTTAATAATAGTTGGTAAGTTTTAGGTTATTTATTTAATTCTACGATACATATATCTATTTAAACTAATTAAATTCATAATTTAAAATTTTTTTAATAATATAGAAAGTAAGTTACTATTTAATTTTATTATTATATATTTATACAATATTTTACATATAATTTAAACTAAATTCTTTATTTAAAATTTATTTATTAATTAATATAGGAGGTAAGTTATTTATTTAATTATATATAGGGATGGCAACGGTCAGTTATAGTCGGTCATGGTCAGTTATAATCGATTATAGCAATTTAAACGGTCAGTTATGGTCGGTTAAAAATTGGTTAAACGGTCAGTTAAATGGTCGGTTATACCATTTTACTTAAATAATTGGTTAAATGGTCAGTTAAATGGTTAAAAATGGTCGGTCAGATGTTAAAACGGTTGGTTATGATCATAACTGTTGCCATCCCTAATTATATATTATATAAAATTTATATATAATTTAAACTAATTAAATTCTATATGAAATTATTTAATAATATAGCAAGTAAGTTATTTATCTAATTCTCAATAGTTAATATATTTACGTATATTTACATATAATCTAAACTAACTAAATTATTCAAAAATTATAGCTCGTAAGTTATTTATTTTCTATCATTATATATTTATATAATATTTGCATATAATTTAAACTAACTAAATTCTTTAATAAATTGTTAATATTATAGGAAGTAAGTTATTATTATTACATATTTATATAATATACATAATATTTATGTATAATTTAAACTAATTAAATTCTTTAATCTTTATATAAAAATTATTCAATAATATAGCTTGTAAGTTAATTATTTAATTTTACTATTACATAATTATATAATATTTATATATAATTTAAACTAATTAAATTTTTTATTTAAAAAAAAACTTAATAATAGATGGTAAGTTATTTATTCAATTCTAATATTATGTATTTATATAATGATTGCATATAATTTATATTAATTTAATTCTTTATTTAATAAATTATTTAATAATATAGAAAGTAAGAATTTTAATATATATTTAGTATATAATATTTTTATATTTAAAAGTTAAACTAACTAAATATTTTATTTAAAAATTATTTAATCAAATAGATTGTAAGTTAGTAGTTATTTAATTTTATTACATATAATTATATAATTTGTATATAATTAAACTAACTAAATTCTTAAAAAATTTAGATTGTAAATTATTATTTAATTTTGTTATCATAATACTTACATAAAATTTAAACTAATTAAATCCTTTATTTAAAAAAATTATTTAATAATATAGGGGGTAAGTTATTTACTTAATTTTGTTATTGTATGTTTATATAATTTAAAATAACAACTTTTTATTTTAAAACTATTTAATAATATAGGAGGTAGGTTATTTATTATATATTTATATAATATTTATATATGATTCATTTAATTAATTGAATTCTTTATTAACAAAATTATTAATAATGTAGAGAGTGAGTTTTAATTTTATTGTAGCATATTATTTAATGTTTATATATGTTGTGCCTCAGATCGATTCATGCCTCAGATTGAAGCTCACGCACCTCACATTGAGATTGTCACCTGACGCACCTCATTTGAATCATTCAATAAAGTCTGTTATAAGTAAACTTTTTTTCTCATTAATTAAACCACTTTTTGTAACATAAACAAACTTGTGCGCCATAATGAGTTACATGTTTCCTGAAATCTTTATGTAAATCTGATTCATATTGAAGTTTATACTTGTATTTTATCTGAAAAATCATTAAATTTTAAGTCATTTTTCAAATGAAAAGATTTAATGAGCATGATTCTAATTAATCTGAAATTTTAGGATTTTATACTTAAAATAATGATAAATAAGTTTACTTAGTACTTAAAAATACATTAAAATTGGAAATTTTGATGTTTAATTATAGCTCATTTTTATTAGCAATTGAGGTGCGTCAGATGACAATCTCAAACTGAGGTGCGTGAGCTTCAATCTGAGGCAAGAATCGATCTGAGGCACAACATATATATCCCCTATTAAAGAAAAAATTTTCTAACGAAATGATCTATCAAAACAAAAATCTTTCCTATTAAAAATGGAATTTCCATCAAAAGAAAACAAATTCTCAACGAAATTATTTATCGAAAAAAACTCCCTATTAAAGAAAAATTCTTCAATGAAATTCTCTCAAAAAACCCCTTATTAAAAAGATGCTCCAATGAAATCTACCAAAAAATATAAATAAATTCTCAAAAGAAATTCTAAAACTCTAACGAGATTAACTATCAAAAAAAAGAAATTTCCCTATTATAAAAAAATTCTCCAATGAAATTTCTATCAAAAAACAAGCTCCGCTATTAAAAGAAATTCCCTATCAATAAAAAAATTCCCAACGAAATTTTTTTATCAAAAAATTTCCAAAGAAATTCTTATCAAAAAAAAAAAGCTTTGCATATATTAAAAAAAAAAAAAATATCTCTACCAAAAATTTTTTAAAACTACGCTAACCATGTGATTGACAAAATATGTTGCCGGGCAATGTCAGCTCGGTGCTGATCTTTTTCAGCATCGGATAGCATTTTTTCAGACTCTGAGCTAGTGCCTCGACCCGTATCCGGATCAATCCGGATTGATCCGGATTTTTTTTTTTTTCGGATATCCGGATTTTCACGGGTTTCATCCGGATTATAAACCGGATGAAAAATATCCGGTTTGACCCGGAATCCGGATGAAATTTTTATTATTTTTTTTTTTAATTAATAATGATTTTGCTGATCCATAAAGATCTATATCTAAATTATATTATGGCTAATTATTTTTGCGCCTAATACCAATTTTTTTATTAAAATTTATTAAATTTATATTTGTTATATTAAACTTTTTAATACAGTAAGTTTAAGAAGATTTTTCAATTATAATTTATTTATTGAAGTTTGTATCAGATTTGTTTATTTAAATTTATACATTAACAAATAACAAATAATTTTAGATTTCACATTCAAACGTTCAAAAGAAAAAAAACTTTATATTATTTTTGTTACAACAAAATAATAATTATTGTTTTAAATGAAAAATTGTTCAATATTATAAATTTATATAATTATAACAACTTTTTTTAAAAATTAAAACTAGTGTTATATAATTTGATTCAAATGATTCTTTAATTTTTGAAAGAAGAAACAAATCCTTAAAAAATTGCCTTACTAACCCAACACATCTATTTATAGTAATCTTTAGCTGTATATAAAAATATCTTGTTTAAAATTTCATAATTAGTTAATTTACAAAGAAATGTTAAACAATATTCTGAGACAATGCTGAAATAATATGAAATTGTTTTAAAGAAAAGTATTTAATGAAATTGGAATTATGTAAATTTCGTGGTCTTGGATAATTTTGGCCAAATTTGTAATTCTGGCCGAAATTAACATCACGTGACACCGGGAAATAGTTTAGCCACCGGGCAAAAAATTTTTTATCGGCTGGCATGAAAATTTAATGTTACACAATTTGTAATTCTGGCCGGCGTTATGAATTCTGGCCAGAATTATTGCCGATCATTTGTAAATCCAATCCGGTTTCCGGTTTCTATCCGGATTATCTGATCCGGATTCAAAATCCGGGTCAATCCGGATATAATCCGGATTTTTTTTTTGTGTAATCCGGATGACGGTTTTCATCCGGGTCGAAGCACTACTCTGAGCTGATCTTTGTCAGACCCGGACACCAGAACCGTGGAATGCTTAAAATAGGTTTATTCAACAAAATATTAATGCTGTACGACTATCATTGGCTTAATATAGGTTTATTATACACTCATTTACACAACAAAATATCGGAGAAAAGGTTTTTCCTAGAATGTTTAATTGTTCATGAAAGTGACGAAAAATTTTATTGATTATTCATTGAGAATATACAAAACGAATATTTCATTTGGTTTTTAGATTATAAGAAAATAAAATCTTTTAAAAAAATTATTCTTAAAAAATGAAGAAAATTATTCTCGCTTTTGGCTCAACAGGCCTTGGCAAGACAACAATGGCTCATTTGCTTTGTGAAGCAAATGTTAAGGGTTCAAGTGGTATTGAATCTGCAACTAAAATAGCAGTATATTATGAAACAGATAAATATTTATATATTGATACTTGTGGATTTGGTGATTCATCTGGTAAAACAGATGAAGAATTATTTCATGATATGATGTGTTTATTTCAAAGATATGGACAAAATAATATCTTTAATATCAATACAATATTATGGTTTTGTTCTGAGAGTGAAAGAGAGACAAGTCACTTACAACGTGAGGCTAATTTTATTCAACGTCTTGTCGAATATACTGATGAATGTAACCCAATAGATTTATGGAAAAGTGTCTTGATTATAACAAAGGGCAATTTAAATTTGCGCAAATTAGTTGATGGACCAAAATCTGCTGCAAGGAATGCTTGTTGGGCTTTTTCTAATAAACAACATTACGAATTTAATGAAGATTCTTTCTTCGTTAAACACTTTCCATGTTGGATCTATGACACTGAAGGTATCACAGAAGAAAATGCACGTTGGGTTAAAATGGATTCTAAAACTCGTTTCGAATTTAATTGTTATCGTCAGGATGAAATAAAATCAAAAGTTCAACATTTGATTTCAAATTTTAGTCCAATAACAATACGCTTTAAACAAGGAATATGTAAAAAATGCAATGTAATTGGGGATCCAAGGCTTTTCATCACACAATGTCATACCAAATCATTTTTTAAACATTCTATAAAAATCGAATATTTTCATCCTGAAGAAATTGTTCATTTTCATTCGGGAAGTAAGTTTCTTGTTCATGAACCTGATGAAAACTCAATAAAAAAGCTTTTTGAAAGTATATTCGATGGCGATCAAATTGAGATTCCTGTGTCTCAAGTTTCAAGTGAAATAGCAGAAAAAATTATTGAATCGTGCAAATTATTTAATAATCAAACAAATGCAGCACCAGAGTTACAACCAGAATTACAACCATCATTTATGTCACAAATAATTTCACACGCACCTCAAGCAGCATCAAATTTATTACAAACAGTAGCGCCATTAGTGACGACATTGGCCGTTCCCAGAATGGCACCTAGTACTGTAACTTCTACTTATCTTCTTTCAGGTCCTTCAGTAGCCTTCCTTGTCATTTGCTCCGAAAGAAATAAGTGTTGTTATGAGGCAAAAAATATCTCATGTAAAAGGTGTAAAAAATTGATTGAAGAAATAAATGAAATAGGCTGTATTGAAAAATGTGATAATTGTAAAAAAGAATGGATAGAAACTGGTTGTGCAACTGGATATGGATGTTGTAAACAAGAAGAGGGAAAGCTCGGATGTCAAGCACATGAAAGATGCACAATATGTGATGAAGCTGCGATCGAATTAAATTCCCAAGGATGTACGGAATTTTGCGTGAAGTGCAAAGAAATGTGGAATATTACACCAGGCTGTGATTCCGCTTCCAAACACGATGTGTTGATAATGGATTGAATTTCATCTATTTTTTATGTTTTTTGAACATACGTACAAATGTACGATAATTTAAAAGTTTATTACAAGATATACTTGTTTATATTACTTTTATTATAATATTTTTATACATTTAAAAATAAAGTTATAATTAACTCTTTTGTTTGTAATTCATTTTATCATTTATTATCATCACCCGTAGACGAAACTAATAATTTTTGCCAATTTAGCGTCATGTGAAATTTGATATAATAATTACAACATTTATATCATAATAAAACGAATTTACAAGGCAACTTTCAAAATATAATTTGTTCTTTTCAATATTATTAACAGAAATCTAATCACGATCATTAATGTTGATTAAATACTAAATATATTTAAGGTAGACAAAATAAAGCTTTCCTTTAAGTAAGTCCACTTTTGATTCCAAGTGATATATGGAGAATACAAAGTTTTTAAGAGTCGATCAACTATTTAAATTTATATTTAAAGTTTGTGAGGCGCATTTTTTATCTTTTCTTTATTTTCTATGTATGTTATTTGTATTCAAAATGTCTCGAGGCATTTAAGCTTTAGCAATTATAATCTTCACGCTAACTATCTTTATATTCATTGCGACAGGATTTCTTGCTGTTGTGCGATACTAATGTAGCGCCAATAATATATTTTCTTTTATGAAATATGAGTAAAACTTATATGTAATTCTAATTATTAGACGAATAATTGTTTCTTTGAAATATCACTTCAAATATTAAAATATTTCTATGAAATAATTCAATCTATGATCTATTGTATTAAAGACATATTATTTCTGTGTATAAACTAAATTTCTAACAATATTTGGCAATGAGGAACGTACAAAGACTTAGACCCGACGTGGAACATTGCTATATTTTAGAATTAAAGGAATTTGCATGAAAAATATTGTTATACTAGTTGTTGAGATAAACCATCTTTAAAAAATTGCACTGCGCGTTGAATTTTACTAATTTATATTAATGTAAATTTTCTTTCGCGAATTCTTCTTTCGCGAATTAATTATAATGGCTGATGATAAACTTTTTTTATCTAAATTACCCCAAATTTTACTTGAAGTTTTAAATGATGAAGAATATTATGATATAACTATTGAAGTTGGTAATGACCTTCATGTAAAAATATTTTATAATTATTTTATATTATCGTTCTTCATATTTACAAAGAATTTTGTCGACTAACAAAAGAAAAAATGATGGAACTTTGACACATATTAAATTACCAAATATTTCACCTGAAGTTTTTCAATAATCTTAAGGTAATCTTTATAATCTATATAACTAAAAAAATTTGTCCTGACGTTTGGATTAGTCATTTAGTCTCCGTATAAAAATCCCATGCCATATAATTAAACCCCGTGACATACCTCCGCCTGAGCTACTTATGGTCAAAAACTATATTCCAATCAACTAATTTAATTCAGTTAATAAAATTTTAACTTAATCGTTTCGGTTTAGTTTTTTTTTTTTAACTGAAAAATTTTTTTCTCATTCTTTTCTCGTTTTAATAGGTTTAATTTTTTTTCCTAAAACTGAAATTATTTTTTTAAAAAAAAAATCTATATAACATAGGAAAATTGACTAACGATGATAGAAAGATGATTAATATTTTTTCAATTAAATTGAACGCTGGATAAATAGTTTGGTTTTCAAATTCATAAAAATCAAAAAAAAAAATGATATTTTTACAATATTTTATAATTAATTAATTAAGAAATTGTTGATTTAATAATAGATTATTATAACCTAAGTTGGTTATAAGTTTAAGATTGACGTAGTATAATTTGATAAGAAATTTTATAATTAATTAATAAAAATTTGTAGTATTTTCATAATATTAAATTTTTTTCGAAAATACTTCTAAAAAATTAATCAATTTTTATTGATAATTATTTTTTCACAATTCATTAACTGTTAATTCCGAATTTCATTCTACACTCAAACGCTAAATCATTAATATAAATAGCTTTAATTTCTAAACAGCCAGAAAAAATATTTAAATCAACAAATTTCACTTAAAATTATACTTTTTAAAGTGCATCAAATTAAATTTTTTTCACTAAGTTATTTGGATTGGTGATTTATTAAAAAAAGCATATCAAATCAAATTTAACAAAAAATAATGATCAAATGGCATGAAAAAGATAAATATGCATAATATCTGAGAAAACTAGAGATATACTGTAATTTCGGTTCATAATGATAACAACAAAAGCACCATCATTTTACTAATATGAATAATAATCATAAACAATTTAAATATTTAATAATTATTAAAAAGACAATTAACCAACACAAAATAAACTAAAACCATGATTATGATTTACAAATGGATTTACTTAAAAGGAGATTTATGATCTTAAATCATAATGAATTGTAAACTCGCAACCGTCCAAACAAGAAAATACACTACTTAAATATATATTTAACATCAGTTACTCCAATATTGTATAATTTACAATCTTTAATATAAGCTATGCTATCAATATCAGCTAAAATACCGCCAGCATTTTTTATATTGGCAACAACACATTTGTTCATGAATAGTTTTGCTTTACGACCATCAATACAAATAGGCGGAACCGGTCCAAAACATTTGATGAACCAGCAGTTGTCTACAAAAACCTGAGAGGTTTCCATATATAGTGAGTATCCTCGAGTACATTCAACATAAATATTATATAGTACAAGATTACTATCACTACCTCGGAATACATTGATGTCAGAATTCTTTATTGTCACTTTACCAATTCCAATGATAACGATGTTTCTGTTATCCATTTCCATCAACACCATAGTTGTATATGTACCAGGCTCAAGTACCAATATTACATCTTCAAACTGAAACAGATCAAGTAGTCCTTCGTCAAGTTGGTTATCCTCTCTTTTGATAATCTTCGGGGTTGAAAAAGGCATTTTTTTACATTGTTGGATAAAAAATTCGTCTTCATGAGAAATTTCGCCCAATGCCAGAGAAATTAAAATATTAGCATATGCACCAAATAGATTACTATTTGTAGCATGCATTTTTGCAAATTATACTGTAAGCTCCTTTATTGCACATTGCATCTAATCTAATTGATGTATTGAGGTAGCCCAAAACTTGAGGTTGGTTTTCTTTTCGTTCTTTAGATGAAAGAAGAGAGAATGAAGACTCTGGAAGGACAAAAGAAAGTAGCTTTAAATGCTTTAGGATGTTTTTTCTGGAACTTTTCCAGTTCCTGCATGTAAATTTCGAAAGTATTTTCAATATTAACGGACTCCATATATCAAAAATATTTAAAAGAAGTGGGTGGGAATCCCTTAACAATAAAAACTTGCAATTATCAATTTAATTCAAGATCTTCAGCCATACATGTGAAGATCAACGTGTAAATCCAAATTTTTTTCTTTGAATTCGTAAACCTGCTTCAAACCCGACAGCTCGGACACGTGATCGATGTGGCGGTTGATCTTTTCTTTATGTAAAATAATTATTAAAAATCTAAGTTAAATGTTACACAAGACAAGATAAGCGGATGCACATCACAGGTCACGTTAACCTATCCTGATCATGTGGAAAGAGTAGCCTTCACAATGTAAATACCTTTTTAAGATTTTCGCGACAGTATATAAATTTCGATTATATTAACTCTTTTCATTTTTATTTTTGTTTTTATTTTTTTCTGTTTTTTTTCATTATGATGCTCGTAGTCTAAATTAAGCAAATAATATTAATAATTATGTCATAGTTGTTGAATTAGTAAAATTTGCTTAATTTAAACTATAATAAGACCTTAGCATACTCGGTATTTGATATATAAATACATTAAAAACGATAAAATTATGCTTTTCCAACTATATAAATAAATATCGATTTAGGTATATCAAAGATTTTCATATGGATCCTTGACATATGGGGACGCCCGTAGCAAAAGGGGGGGATAGGCCAAAAAATTCAAATTTGAGATTTTATTATAATTATATGTCTATTAGTCTAATTATTAAGAAAATATGGTTTTTTATTAATAATATATTAGTAAAAAAGTTTAATTTTGAAATTTTCTTATTATTTGCATTTTACTTTTATAGAATTAACAAGCAACATAAACTTATTAAAAGAAAATCAATACTCTTAGTAAATTGCCTGTAAAATTTAGTTTTAGATAAAAAAAAAAAGGTCTGAAAGTCAATTTATTTCACAATTAAGTGATGATCTGCCAAATTTATCATGTGATTTAAATTGCGATTTTTTTTAAAATTACGGAATTATCCCATTCCCCCTTTTGCTACGGGCGTCCCCATATGGAGTTTGATAAATTTTTTATAATAAACACATGTTTCTTTTATGGTGTATAAATACGGGTTATATAATAATATTTATTATTTATAGTTAGATAATAGGTCTTTTAATACATGCACATTTACTTCCATTTTATAATTTTAAGTATTGTTATCAGTTATAAAAGGCGTAAAATTGAATTAATAATACAAAGTTAATTGCATCGATCCCTTTTTTAACAATGAATGACACAAAGCCATTGTTAAAAAGTCTTTATGTAGTTACTTTAAAATCAGTACAATGTAAGAGTTTTATCTGTATAAAAACATAAAAAAGGAAAAAAAAAGAAAAGTTTAGTATGCAAAAAAATATTAAAAATAATTTTAAAGATAATAATGATCATAAGATTCTTGAAAGAGAATCTCTAGAACATAATTTGTTGAATAAAATTCATTATAAAAAAGAATCTTCAGAAAACATTAAGCTTGATAATTATTACGAAAAAGATATAGCTAATAAAGAATTCGGGGTTTGTTTTAATTGTAATAAACCACAGACTGAAGAAAATTGGTGTTTAAATTGTAATTCTAAATTTTTTCAAAAAGAATTCAATAATTGGAGAAGTGAAAATATGCATATAGATAAATTTATACAAGAAGCTCAATTAAATGCAAGAAATAATAACGAAGTTATAGAATGGATTAATTATGATCATTTTATAAATATACAATATATTACTCGAGGAGGATTTAGTATTATTTATGGGGCTGATTGGTTAGATGGAAGTATTGATTGTTGGAATTATGAAAAGGAAAATTGGAATAGAATTACTCAAAAAAATGGAATTCGTGTAATACTTAAGAGTTTAAACGATTCTTCGAATATTCACGAAGATTTCCTAAATGAGCGAGGTAATTATTTTTTTAATTTTTAATTTTTTAAATGGCATTTTTTTTTTTTATTAATATAAATATATATATACCATTTTTAGTTGAAAAATCATTTAAAATTTTTATATTCAGCTATAAATAATTATTCAAATTTTGTGAAAATTTATGGAATAACTAAAGATCCAAATACATCAAATTATATAATTGTTTTACAAGAAATGCCAATGGGTAATTTAAGATCTATACTTATGATAAAAAAATGGAATCAAAATGATAAATATTATAATATATACGAGATAGCAAGTTCACTTTCCGCTTTGCATAAATGTGATCTAGTTCACGGTGATTTACATAGTGGAAATATACTTTTTAAAGATATATTTACTGCTTATATAAGCGATTTTGGATTAAGTAAACCTGCGGATCAATCTATTGATTATAATGTGATTTCTGGAGTACTTCCATATATTGCTCCAGAAGTTTTACGTGGAAAACCGTATACAAAAGCTGCTGATATTTATAGTCTTGGTGTTATTATGTGGGAATTTACATCTGGTGTTCCTGCTTTTAATAATAGACAGGATGATTTTAATCTTTCCTTAGATATTTGTAGAGGATTAAGACCAGAAATTATAGAAGGAACAGAACCTGATTATGAAGAATTAATGAAAAGATGTTGGAATACTGATCCCAATAAAAGACCAACTGCAGATGAATTAGCAGAAATATTTGACGTGTTATCTACTAAATTTATAATGCTAATGAAGGATGAAGAAAGAAAGTCAGTACCAGCAGTACCAGCAATACCAGGTAAATAAGATTTTTTTTTCTTATATTAATTAAATTTAATCATTAATCGATTATTACTATTATAGAGAATAAATCATATCATCCATTAACTTGCTATACAAGTAGAAAATTTGATTATTCTGTAAAGTTGAATGAAATTTTAAATCAAGAAGAATTAAGTTTTAAATTTACAATAAATGAGAAAGATGATTATAAAGAAACAATATTAAGTGAAAGTTTAGGTAAGTATTACTTGTTTTTTTTTATTAATTTTAGGAGTTAGTATTAGTACTAGGTATAATGTATTATTTAATTAACTAAATAACTATGGTGATAAATAATCATTTGCCGCTATATAGTAAATGAATAGCAGAACCCTTTTATTAATACATTTTTATATTAATAACTTTTATAGAAAATTGTAAGATTTCTAGTACCATTTTAGGTAATTTACATTTTTTATTTAATGTTTATAATTTTTCATATTTTAAATTATTATTTTTTTTTTAATTAATTATTTTTTTTTGTAGATATTAATCAAGAAAAAAGAGAAAAAAGTTAATTGACTAAACAAATTTATAAGGTGCTAGTGTCATGTGATCATCATGTGCCACTCCGAAATTGATCGATGTTGCAAATGTTTAACATGATTAACATGTCGGACATAATTAATATGCCGAACATGTCAAACCTAATTAACATGTTGGTTATGATCAACGTATTGAACATGTTAGTCATATTATACATAGTAGATATGTTAAATTTATAGTAAAGAAAGGGAATAAAAAAAGTTTTTATTTTAAAGTTATAAAGTGATAATTTTTATCAAGTGAAATCCTTTATTCGTGTTTGGAAGTATATGGGAGGCGGTCAGTAGAAAAGGGGGAAATTTAAAAATTTTAAGATTTTTGGTTATTAAGCTAATTTTGTTCCCATGACCATGATTGGCAAAGTAAACTAATAAAAAAAATTTTGACCAAAATTTGGATTTCCCCCTTTTCTACTGACCACCTCCCATATGCCGACGTACAGCGCTATACAACACATCTGATCGGATAATTTTGATATATTGTTTAATACATTGTCTAATTATACACTAATAAACCTTCTGCTACCTAACCACATAAATTGCTCAATAAATTTAAGCGTAAAGAACTGACACAACACTAGTATACTGGTATAGAATATAAAGATTTGATATAATCCCTATAAGAAATATGTATATGGAAAGGATACATTTTGTATACATTTTATGTACGTTTCTATAGATTCCATATACAAATATCATAATTTGTTAGATGGGAAAATTAAAGAAAAATACGGAGATCTTAGTAGGGTTTATTCAATTAATATAAACTATAGTCATCTCGACGAAGTTAATTATATTATTACTTGGAATAATATTATGATAGAAAAAAGACTTCGACATTTTATTCGGCAATATACAGATATAAGGAATTTTGAACAATTTTTAAATTTAAATCGAAACGCGAAATATAGGAAGAGTCAAGTAGATTGGCAAGTTACATTTACATATTTAAAAGAAAAAGAAACCGCTTTAGAAACTAGTTTATGGACATCTAAAAGACGTCGTAAAAAAATGTGACGGTTAATAGAGGAGATCCCTACGATTGAACATTGTAAAAAATCTTTATTTGATTTATTTAAAGATTGGAAATGTCCCCGATGTGAAAAAAAGAAAGAGACCTTTAATCATGTTTGGAGATGTAAATCTCAAAAAAAGAAAATGATGTCGATTATAAAAAATGCTTATGAATTTTTTTTCAATGAAATTTTAAAATTGAATTATGTAATTATAAAAGAAGAATTGTTTCAATTATTTCGAGAGGAAACTTATGGTCTATTGAGAGAGGATGTGAATAATTTGACGTTTATAGATATTATTAAAGGAATATTTCCATTAGATATTACGAGATTTTTAATCAATAATAAAGTGAAGGCGGATGATAGAATAGCGTTAAGCGTTTTATTTTTAGATTACGTATACGATGAAACCTTTAAGATTTGGGAGGATAGATGTGAGGTACAAATTAAAAAAGAAAAAGCTTTTCAAATTAGCGAAGCAAAAAAGAAATCAATGAAGAGTTACGATTCCAAATATAAAAATAGGCTTGATGAGTTGACCACTCCGCTATATGGAAGGGCTGAGGGTTTACTTGCTGGGATTTATTTTAATAAAAAGCCGTTGGATTTTACAATTTTTGTGAGCCAGATTACGTTTAATTTTTGTTTTTATTTTAAATTTCTATTTGTTTGCCCGATAGGGTGAGTTTTTTTTTATTATACAGTTCTATATTTTCATTTAATCTGGTTTGTTGGGGGTGATTTAATTTATTATTTCATTCTAGATATTTAGTTTAGTATTATT